CAAGCAACGTTAGTTCCTGTGATTCCGTGTAGCATGGGGTACCAAAAACTGGAACTGGTCACCTAGTGCAGTACCATTGTTACGAATTTTAAAATAATCTTACACTTTTAATAATCTAGTGTGGGTATTTTTGTACTGATAGAATAGCTTCTAACTAGTCTATTGACCAAAGGTGGTTGTTCAGTGTACATGAAATTTTTTGCACAAAAAGATATACAAAATAATTCATAGGAATCATTTTTCATTAGCTTTGGGGAAGAAATGCCAAATCCACTTTGATTATCAGAGTCAAGTGGCACAGATCTGTGTGCATGTTGTTCTCTTCCCTGTTACTCTTACTTGGAAGTTGGGGGAAAGTGACACACAGGCCACTGTTCCTAACGCAGTGTCCCTCCAGACATAGTCTGTCCGGGAAGAACTGCTACTTTGGAAGTAGGACGTATCACCAGTAAGCTTCAGTGTGATTTCAGAGGGCTGCTGCGTTCTGCCGTTTGTGACCACGCGCTGGCCTGTAGACCACCAACTGTCTTCACTCCAGTTTTTATCCTGTTACCTTTTCTAATATCGTGTCAACCGCCAGTTCTTGGGTTTTCTATGCTATACCTACATTTGTGTGTGTCGTTCACAGACTTTAGATTAGAGAAGGTAATGGTGGGATCTTCTGAAGACCATTTCTAAATTGTCCATTTAGACATTTTTCGGCCTGCTTTGAAAGAAAAGTCACACATACTATTTTTCTATGAATCAGGGAATGAGGGGAGGAATCCATTTAGTTGTACTTCTCATTTTGATGAAATTTTCTACCCTGGCTTTACGCTTTGCATTTTTCCCAAATAGAACTGTTTCTTATGTGTGTTTCAGAGTGTATATTCGAACCTTCTAAAGTAGAAGCGACATCTTTTTAATTCTCTGTAGTTTCTTCAGACTTTGAAGTCCCTCTTAGAGGAGAACCTCCTGAGAATGCTTTGCTTCAGGCGGGTGGGGGTGCTGCTCTCCACTCCTGTGCCGATCCCTTTGTGTGGCTCATGTCAGGACTCCCTGGCGTGTGTGCGAAGGAGTGGGAAACGTGAGTAAGGGCTAACGAACCAGTGCAGCCGCCACCACAAAGAAGGAAAACACAGACACTCAAGTCATGATATCTGTACATTTTTGGTAACATGTTACTGTGGTTTAGTTCTTATTATGGCACAAATTTATTTCTGAACTTGAACTATATTGTGCAAAACAAAAAAAGTTTTCTGCGTTTTCCCTGCTCTCAAATACTCTGAGGTGATAAACTCAGAGCATCTGTCTACCACTGCTAAGCCTCAAGGTAAATTCAGTTGAAATTTGCAATTCCATCAGTAGTTAATTTATTGAATTCAGACCACCATTTATCAGTTTGACAGCCACTTAATAAATGTACTTTGCAGTTCTGAACTTAGCATTTTACCCATTTTTGATTGCAGGAGATAGACCCTGTATTTCAGGAAACATATGTATTGTCAACAGTTGGGAATTTTTTGAATTTCCTTTTAGGTAATATTTATTAAGCATAATTTTCTGAGTGATCAAAACCCACAATGTTTTGTTATTTGACTTGGCTTTCATTCTCTACTTGCCAGTTAAAGAATGTCTCATTTCTATCATGTAAAACATTTTTTTAATGTCAAGCAGTACAAATTATTCAAATTACTGAATGTTTTTCTACTCTTTTTTTTCTTTAAAAGCATCGAATAAATTGAAGAAAACTTTAAACCAGAATTTTATGGGGAGGGGGAGGAATCATTTAAACTTTTCCCTGGGAATCAAATCATGTAGAAAATTGTAAGGAAAGGTAATAGTGCTTTGTGTCAGGAAAAAACATTTGCAAAGGATAAGAAAACCATATCATTTAAAAAGGATAGTTGACAGAACCTGCAATACATTGGCTCTAATATTCTAGATTTTTCAACATATCCACC